GGACCTTCAACACGATTACAGCTTCCTTGAAAGAGCTCCTAAAAGGAGAGAAGTTTCAATGGACAGAGGCAACTCAGTCCAGCTTTGATATCCTGAAGAATAAGGTGACTCAGGTCCCAAGGTTAGCTCTACCAGATTTCAGTCAGTTGTTCAAAGTGGAATGTGACGCTTCTAATGTGGGGATTACAATAGCATTGAGCCAAAAAGGGCATATAGTAAAAAAATTATATGCTATAATGAGAGCTCTTAATCATTGGAGTCACTGCCTATTGATTAGCGGGTTTAATTTATTCACAGATCATGAGGCTCTGAGGTTCTTAAATAGTCAGATCAAGTTGACGGGCAGACAAGCTTCCTAGTTTGAGTTCTTGGCATCATTCAGTTTATGCTCAAGCACAAGGCAAAGAGTCGGAATCAAGTAGCGGATGTCTTGAGTCGTCACCACTTACTAATCAACTCCTTGCAGGCTAGAGTTATGATATTCAAGGTGTAGGAGTTGCATAAGGTAGATGAGGACTTCAAGGAGATTTGGGATCAGTGTCACGAGAGGCCTGCAAGACAGTACCATAGATCAAATGTCAATCTGTTCCACCATAACAAGTGTGTGTCCCCAGATGTTCATTGAGAGAGTCCGTCATACAAGAGAGTAACAGCTGAAGATTAACAGGTCGTTTTGGGGGAAACTAAGACATTCACAAAAGGGAATATTTTTTCGAAACTATACTAGCAAGAAATGTGAAGGGGTATGTCAAGCAATGCAGAGTTTGTCATCTGGAAAAAATCAAAGGAAAAAATATAGGATTATACAGACCATTACCAGTACCAAAGACTCCATTGGTAGATGTTAGTATGGATTTCGTTGTGGGTCTTCTTAAGACAGTGGAATAAAGATTCGGTGATGGTAGTGGTTGACAGTTTCTCAAAGGTGGCTCATTTTGTACTTTGTCATAGGAAATTGGATGCATCACATATAGCTGACTTGTATTTTAGAGAAATAGTGAGACTGCATGGGACACCAAAGACCATTATTATTGATAGAGATGTCAAGTTCCTAGGTCACTTTTGGAGGAACTTATGAGGGAATCTTGATACTGAGCTTCAGTTCAGCTCAGCAGCTCACCAACAGACAGATAGTCAGACAGAGGAGGTGAACACAAGTTAGAAGAATCTTCTGAGGCTCTTTGTAAGGAAGAACATCAAGTATTGGGATATAATTCTAGTCCAAGTTAAATTGCTCACAGCAAGTCTGTGAGTCAAACTACAGGGCATACTCCTTTTGAGAGTGTGTACGGGCACAATCCACTAAACCCACTTGAGTTGGCAATATTTCTTTCTACTTAAAAGGTTGGTGTGGATGTCGAGTCAAGAGTGCAAGAGATTCAAAGGCTACATGAAGAGGTCAAGAAAGAGAACATCAAGAAAAATTACAAATACTAGGTGCAAGGTAATAAAATCAGAACTAATGTGACTTCTCAGGAGGGAGATCTAGTGTGGATCAGATTGAAGAAAAAGAGAATTCCAGTCGGATCTTTTGGAAAACTCAAACCTAGGGCAAATTGACATTTCAGAATGCTGAAGAAGTTAAATGACAAACGCCTACAGGATTGACTTACCGGAGATAAAAAATATTTCTGTCACTTTCAACGAGACCGACCTGACTTCATACTATGAGGAGATAGAAGTTCGACGAATGAGATCAAAGCTCGCTCAACACTGGTAGACTGATGCAGGCGCCTGCCTGGTGCGGAACGCCTAAGTACACCTAGATCAAACTGGTCCACGCTTTTGAGGAGCCAGCTAGCCCTCCGAGCTAGGAACTGATGCCAATTAGAGTGAGGTCACCCCAATTTATCTAGAGCATATATATTTTGCTTTTATCATGTTTTAAGTTTCAATTTTTCACTGTGTTTGTTTTTAGACAGTTATCACCCTTTTCTCTTTTAGGGTTGTATCAAAGGGTTTTGAGTGGCGCTACAACCATTTCTGATTCCTGAGATGATGTTTAGCCTTTTGATAACCTCCCCATCCCTTTCCTGCACCAATTCCCTTCCCCTTGCTACTCCACCTTGTTGACGCCCCAAAAAAAAACCGCAAACCTACTATTATTGCTCATTACGACTGTCTGCCAACCCAAACCCAACCTTCCCAATCATTCCCCTCCTTCCTCCTTATTGTTGTCACCCAAAAAACGCCCCTTCCATCGCTCTCCCATTGTCTTTGAACCCCAAAAAATCGGCAGACCTGACGTTTTCCCTTCCCCCTTATTGTCGTCACCTTCCAAACCCCTAGTCGGCACTGCCAACACCTTCCCCCTTATTTTCTTATTGTAGCAATTTCCTATTTATATCTTATATTACTGTAATTTCTTATTTGAATTCAATAGAAATATTTGCTTTCTATGGGTATTTGGTTAAACATCGTTATCACTGATGAAAATCTCAAACCTTATAATCATTGAGATAAGAAAATAAAAATTTGAGTAATGAGTTTAATGGTTTCATTTCACTATTTTTAAAATTTTTAGATTTATGTTTGAGTATTTTTTTCCACATATGTGTTCTCAGATGGTTTGACTTACCCCCTAGTCCAATTCAGTTACTTATGGTAGATTGGTTTGGTTTTAAAAACCTATGCCAGATTGATTTAATTTCACATAGTCAACAAGATTTGTTCACTTGTCGGGTGGGTTGTTGTCTAATTACTTTGCTTTTATGTGCATTGTCTGGTTAATGTTTAGGGTTGTGACTTAATTCATCAGTCCTCTTGTGGCTAATCATGATCTTCCATGAGAAAATGCAGTCTTCACTTTCACAACCTTATATCACAAGTCTTTAGTAACGTCTAATCTAAGAATTTTCAGTTTGAGGCAACAAATTATGCTCTACAAGATTTTAGTGAATCTTCTCGCTTCATGATAACTTGATCGATCCTATCTTACAAATTTTCTGATTATGAATAAAGGTAAATGGGGCATGTAAATATAATTCTACGATTAAAGACTACAAATTTTTGAAAAAAATCATCTCATTGTACCAAAGTGAAACCAATTGTTATTTGGGGACTTCATTCAATTCTCAATTTCCATAAATTAATTTTAGTGATTGGTTTATTTGCATGATTTTTTTTTTAATTTAGTGTGAGTTTTTTATTAAATATGTGATTATGTATAATTATGAAATTCTATTTAACCTTTAAGTTAGAAAATTTTCACATCATGTTTATTTGGATTATAATAATGAAAACTTTGTCCAAGTCATAATTTCATGAATGCAAAATTTGGACTTCATGCACTATTTTGTGTCTCTCATCAGAGATGAAATAGAATAACCAAGACCCTATAATATCCTATATCACATGGAAGTAAAATTGTAAATAAAAACGAAATATCTATTGAAATATAGAGAGTTATTAGTAATTTTATGGTAATTTGGTTAACAATGCTTTTTAATAAGAGAACGGACAACAATGATAGAAGATAAAAATATTTTTATAACAATATTTAAGAACAGTTGATTTATCAACATTTGTGAATACTATAGAATAATCCAACTAATTATTCCTGCAATAAAATTATTAGAGAAATTAATGGAGTATTAACTTAGAAGAATTAAAACAGCATCATAGAGCATTTCATGACAAGAAGATTCAATAGGAGAGAATTTTTTTTTGTAATAAGACAATTAAGGAAGTAAATAAATCAAATAGATGATGCTCATATATTTGTTATTGATATAGAGCTAGCTTATGATCAAATATTAAAAAAATTCATTGGTGTGCATTAAGAGAAAAAAAAAGTACGTAAAAAGTTGATAGATGTTAATATATATATATATATATATGATTGATTGAGTGTTAACTAGTAGTAAAAGTGGTTTTTGAGTGGCCAAAGAGTTACTAATCACCATAGAACTACTTCCAAATATTTTATTATGTATGGAGATCCTTATAAAGGTTATTCAAAGAGAGGTGCTTTGTCGTATGATTTTTGAAAAATACAATTTTAATTCATGAGATACCTACTAAAATAAGTAAAAAGTTAAAACTATAGAGAAAATGTTTAGAAGGTATGCCAAAGGTTTGTAAAGGCAGAGTATATGACACAAAATTTTGGCGGACATGATATTACTAATTATAAGCTAACATTGCTAAAAATTAAAATTATAATTAGATGTGATGGGTTAATGTATATTAGATCTATTATAAAGAAGAATAAAAATATAAATAAATATATAACATCTAAAGTTAATGATGCATGGTTAAAAGAGAGAAATGTTCTAGGCGTATTATGTGAAAAGCTAATATCACAGAAAACTTAAATATAAATTCAATAAAATTGCAATTAAAGTGGTTATGTTGTAGGGATCTATGTATTAAGATGTACAAAATCACTGAAAATTAAATTTAGATTGGCATAAATAAAATTTAAAATGTATATATACAAAAATACTAAATAAACTAACGAGGAAAAAATTGAGAAATTATTATTCATTGTTGAAAATAACATATTAGAGATAGTAAAGAGACTTGGATGATTTGGATATATTAAATATAGGGCAAAAAAAGTACCTATAAATTAAGTGGATAAAATTAGCGCATTAAAAAAGGAATAGAAGTAGACCAAATGTAACATAAGAGATGCACTGAGCAGAAAAGAATATGGACTTGGGACTCATAAAACCAACTCCATATATTTGGGATTAGGATAATGAAAATGATGATGATGATGACTTCAAGTATGGCTACGCATTAACGCTTCACTCTGTAACCACCAGCACTTCAAACAGCTGAATTATCTAGATTCTAAACTTGTTTTTAGATGGAAAAAACAAGAAAACGAAAGGAACCAAATTATCAAATAAAAAAATTTCTCTCCATTCCCAAATTAACTTCAAAACCAAATGAATGCAAACACAACCTAAATTTCTCATGTCCTAGTTCACACAGATTAGCACAATCAATCACATAAAGGCTAAAAATAAAAATAGAAAAAAAAATCAAACCTTTCAATGAGAAAAGAAGAATAGAAGTCATTCCTCGCCTAATTTGCCGAAGCAAACTGTAAATAGAATGAAATGCAAAAGATAGCGCCGAGGAGATGAGCAGGATGACAAAGGTTTGGTCTTCATGCACTATTTTGTGTCTCTCATCCGAGATGAATTAGAAAAACCAAGACCCTATAATATCCTATATCACATGGAAGTAAAATTGTAAATAAAAACGAAATATCTATTGAAATATAGAGAGTTATTAGTAATTTTATGGTAATTTGGTTAACAATGCTTTTTAATAAGAGAACGGACAACAATGTAAGAGAACGAACAACAATGATAGAAGACAAAAATATTTTTTATAACAATATTTAAGAACAGTTGATATATCAACATTTGTGAATACTATAGAATAATCCAACTAATTATTCCTGCAATAAAATTATTAGAGAAATTAATGGAGTATTAACTTAGAAGAATTAAACCAGCATCATAGAGCATTTCATGACAAGAAGATTCAATAGGAGAGGATTTTTTTTTGTAATAAGACAATTAAGGAAGTAAATAAATCAAATAGATGATGTTCATATATTTGTTATTGATATAGAGCTAGCTTATGATCAAATATTAAAAGAATTCATTGGTGTGCATTAAGAGAAAAAAAAAGTACGTTAAAAGTTGATAGAAGTTATTATATATATATATATATGATTGATTGAGTGTTAACTAGTAGTAAAAGTGGTTTTTGAGTGGCCAAAGAGTTACTAATCACCATAGAACTACTTCCAAATATTTTATTATGTATGGAGATCCTTATAAAGGTTATTCAAAGAGAGGTGCTTTGTCGTATGATTTTTGAAAAATACAATTTTAATTCATGAGATACCTACTAAAATAAGTAAAAAGTTAAAACTATAGAGAAAATGTTTAGAAGGTATGCCAAAGGTTTGTAAAGGCAGAGTATATGACACAAAATTTTGGCGGACATGATATTACTAATTATAAGCTAACATTGCTAAAAATTAAAATTATAATTAGATGTGATGGGTTAATGTATATTAGATCTATTATAAAGAAGAATAAAAATATAAATAAATATATAACATCTAAAGTTAATGATGCATGGTTAAAAGAGAGAAATGTTCTAGGCGTATTATGTGAAAAGCTAATATCACAGAAAACTTAAATATAAATTCAATAAAATTGCAATTAAAGTGGTTATGTTGTAGGGATCTATGTATTAAGATGTACAAAATCACTGAAAATTAAATTTAGATTGGCATAAATAAAATTTAAAATGTATATATACAAAAATACTAAATAAACTAACGAGGAAAAAATTGAGAAATTATTATTCATTGTTGAAAATAACATATTAGAGATAGTAAAGAGACTTGGATGATTTGGATATATTAAATATAGGGCAAAAAAAGTACCTATAAATTAAGTGGATAAAATTAGCGCATTAAAAAAGGAATAGAAGTAGACCAAATGTAACATAAGAGATGCACTGAGCAGAAAAGAATATGGACTTGGGACTCATAAAACCAACTCCATATATTTGGGATTAGGATAATGAAAATGATGATGATGATGACTTCAAGTATGGCTACGCATTAACGCTTCACTCTGTAACCACCAGCACTTCAAACAGCTGAATTATCTAGATTCTAAACTTGTTTTTAGATGGAAAAAACAAGAAAACGAAAGGAACCAAATTATCAAATAAAAAAATTTCTCTCCATTCCCAAATTAACTTCAAAACCAAATGAATGCAAACACAACCTAAATTTCTCATGTCCTAGTTCACACAGATTAGCACAATCAATCACATAGAAACTAGAAATAAAAATAGGAAAAATCAAACCTTTCAATGAGCAAAGAAGAATAGAAGTCATTCATCGCCTAATTTGCCGAAGTAAACTGTAAATAGAACGAAATGCAAAAGATAGTGCCGAGGAGATGAGCAGGAAGACAAAGGTACAGAGAGAGAGGGGCAAGCGGTACCAAGAACTAATGACGAATAACAGCCACTAAATTTAAAGAGAGGAGAGAATGGGTCGCAGTGGGGAGGGATTTCTCGCGGGCCTTCCTAGTCCACGTCGACGCATAAATTGAAGTCTACATCCAGATCAACATCCGCCTCATGTTTCGGCGAAAGAATGTTCGGGAAGTGACGGTACCTATAACAACGACAAAAATTTGCAAAGAAGTTTGTAGAGCTGGTAGATTATTCAGATGATATTAAGCATTATATTTGTGTTATTGCCCCGTAATATCTCAGTAACATATCTATTATCGCTCAATAGCCTCTGAATAACCCTTGATATATATAGCTCTGCAAATAATTGCGTAGTATTGCTGAATAACCCCTGATATATATAGCTCTGCAAATAATTGCGTAGTATTTAATACGTTGCTTATGTTAGGAAGGTTAGTATTGAGGGTTATATCTGTGTTATACCTCCTGTAACCTTCATGTAAACTAAATGTAACTTATAAATAAATGAAAAAACGAAGCACGGAACTTACTAGTTACAGGTTGGTTGGACAGAGAATATAATAAGAATATAACCCCCAATACCCTCTTTGTAACCTACCAGACCTACGCAGCGCTACATACGTCTCGAGGCAGAGAAGCCTATCAGCATTTAAACCTCGCATAATTAGGACTATCGAAAAAAGATTTGTTATTTTGAGAATGGTTGTATATGTGAAAGTTGTGTTTTTTTTTTTTTTTTTTTTTTTTTTTTGGGGTTTTTTTTTTTTTTTGGTTTTTGTGAGATTTGATTACTTAGTTGGCTACTACAATGTTAAGGAATGATTTAAAAAAAAAAAAAGATTATAATAGCCATCGTAACTTCTTTAGAACCTTCAAAATGATTTCTTTAAACAATTAAAGTTGGCCATTGTGAAATATGAAAATTTTATTTATAAATAAGTTCAATACAAATAAGTATTATTCATTTATATTTATTTTATTTTGATTTAAAATAATTAAATAATTATTATTATTTATGTTTATTTGATTAATTTTCATATGAATTTAAAAAAATAATTTTAATTTCCAGAAAAAATTTAATTTTTATTATTTTTTAAAATTATTAGAACGATATAATTATAAAATATATGCTTGTTCAATGTCAAACAAATTTGCAGCATGCATCCCATAATTTTGAGTTCAGTAAAAATAATTAATTCATTTAGTTTAATTAAACACATTTTTAACCCTATGAAGCGTGATATGAAGTTAAATTTAAGTCAAACATGAACTTAATTCAAACAAATAATTTTGATTGAAGTTGAACAATAACAGACTATTTAGAAGCAATTTCGAAAATGAGTCGAATATAAACAAAATAAATAAATAAATAAACGTAACAAATAAGTCTTGGGCTTGTCAAATTTGACTCGTTTGCACACCTACGTTCAATATGAACAAGGACAAATGTCTAGCTTGCACTAACTGATTATAAGATAGATTAAAATTTTTAATTATTAATATAATTTGAGCTTTTATACTTCATTATAAAAATGTTAGCATATGTTTTTTGTTTGTGGAATTTACATTTCAAAATATTGATCCCAAAAATAATAATAATTCATATAACTGCAAAATTTTGGCATAATAATTCAGGTTGATGTGGTTGTCCCTATTGTTACTATCTTTATTTTTAATAAATATTTTTTTAAAAAAAATTAAGAGGAATATGCTCAAAAATCAAATGAAAAAGGAGACTCTAATTTATAATTAAACTTCTTAAAACATAATTTTTACTAAAAATGTTAAAAATAATAACATTTCCGGTAAACCCAAAAATGTCTTGTGGATCACACCCAATAAATAGAGCGTTGAACGGACGAGAGAAATAAAAAGAGAGAGGGACTAAGAAAGAGAGAGAAAGAGAGGTTCTAAGAGAGCCATTCCTTGAAGAAATAACTCCATATTTATATATCATAGGGGTATCTAGTAAAGTTATAAGTTTATCCTTATTTTAATAAGGACATTGCTAATAATTATTACATCTTTTCATATTTACAACTGACTTCAAAACACCTTTAATATATGTAATCGGAGTTGGCACAATTTCGTAGTTATGACTGCTTGAATAGAGGCATTTAATGGCCCTTGAAACTATTCTCTAGTTGCCTGATCACTATTCAGATTGCTGGAAGGTCTGCTGTCAGCCTTCCCGAGAGAATCCTCAATCAAGGCCCTCTTGTCGTTAGGGTGAACTTAGACATCAGGCAAAATGTGTATCACTGTAATCTGACAAGCAGCTCTCCCTTGGACAAGTATTCTTCACATAGAAATGGATAGTAATTCAATAAGGTGCCCTCTGGCCATCTTTGTAAATAATCCCATAATCGGTTATGAGAGCTGATTATAAATGGTTTCCCTTTGGATCAGGTGTCTCGTGTTCTTTTGTTTGGTTGTACTTTTGTTTAATCGGTTCAGAGTTCTGACCGAATGAAGTGAAGCTTGGTGTTTCTATCTTTTGAATATTCTGATGCAATCCTTTAGTATCTATTAAGCAAGATCGTCAAACTTCCTTAAGATCCATGCAGTCATATTTTTTATGTACATACTTATTTTCTTAATTCTATTTCTTCTTCAAAACAACATTAGTGATAAGAATAACAAAATTAAATATAAATATTGGCTTATTTATTGTGTAAAAAATACTTATAATAACTAAATTCCCTCAATTTCCAAGCACCAATTTTTTATAAATAGGTCTAGTTTAGTACTTTTTCATCAATATTTTTGAATTTTCATCCCTTTAGCCGATTTTAAATAGAAAAAAGTGATGGCGAGTGACAAGATACCCACAAGTTAAGATGTAAAGGTGGTTGAGTCATTTGACTCATTGCTTATCCGTGAAATGGGAGGCAGGACTAACATGCACTTTATTGGTGCATTGATAGTTGCTTTGGATCCAATCTGTCAGTGGTCGGCTCCTCAGTCAGCTCAACAATATGTTCAGGTGGTTATGGTGACTTGGATCCAAAAGAGTGAAGGTGTAGTCCTCTCATCCTTACTGAGGTTAGACAAACAATTGTCAAACCGTTTGTTGGTGAGAACCTCTGTACGTTTGAGATGAAGCGGATAACTGTTATAAATGAATTTATTTTACTTAACGAATTGATTTTTTTTTCATGCTTATGTTGTTTGATTCTTCTTGCAGAGGAGACCATGCATATCATCAACTTCTTTGAAACGGAAGCCGGCCAAGCCTCCTTTATAGAGGCGGTCGAGCGACCTTCTGTTCCAGCTTAGGGCGAGACACACCTTGTCATATGTCAAGTCGATGGTCGACGATGTTCTCAAGGGTCACTGGCTTGCTGCATGGACGAGGTGGAGGACTCCTTCACTCAGGAGGCAAGTCTTCTGAGAGATATTACCATATCAAACTTAAAGAAGGAATTGACAGTCCTCTATGCTGATATGAGGACCCTCTGACTAAAGTGACTCCTCTTCATAAAAAGCTAGCCAAAATTCGGGCTATCAGTTAGCTCTCCTAATTCCAAACAGAGGAAGAGGTTGTAGAGAAATTTAAGTTTGGGGGAGTGTGTTATACCATAGTCTTGTAATTTGAGGCTGGTGTTGCTAAAGGCAGCTGAAGGCCTATCCATAAAATATTTTATGTCATAAATAAAATTTAACTTTTGTGAGTTTTCAACATTTTTCATCATTTTATTTTCTCAATTTTCATGTTGATTTGATGTGAATCTGCAGAGATAGAGATATGGATTTAACGCATTTCATCTTTCCTGGATATCTTATATATATATGGTTTAAAAACAATGGGTTCACTCTTTTCAATTCTTTACATCTTTTTCCACTTGGTCGTTTTCTTTCAGCACTCCCACGGCCTCCAAAAGATAGAGATATGGATTTAACACATTTCATCTTTCCTGGATATCTTATATATATATATGGTTTAAAAACAATGGGTTCGCTCTTTTCAATTCTTTACATCTTTTTCCCTTTGGTCGTTTTCTTTCAGCACTCCCACGGCCTCCAAGTATTCCTCACAGTTGTTCGGCTTGGTGTTAATGACTGAATGGTTTATGCTGACATCATTTGATGTGAGTCTCCTGGAGGATAATTATGTTTATGACACAAGAGTAGTAATCAAGGTGATTGAGCCAGAGGTGAGGGCAACCGACTACTTCGGGGATGACTTGATTTCCACATGGACCTGTCCGATGAGGATTTTGTCTGTCATTTTTCCTAGAAATTTGGTGGAAACTCAATCATTACAGCGTCATCCCCACTCAAATAATGCTGAATTCAATTTTGATTGTGATGATCTTCATCATTTACTTCTGTCAACTGGAGATCCCAGCACTGATTCTTCCATGGGGTATGTAATAACTGAGGAATTATTATCAAGCTGACCATAGGGCCTTAAAAGAATTATAAGGGGATTCCATCGTAGATTTAGGGGCTTGTGTCGACTGTCATGGGTAAGAAAATGTCAGTTATCCAGTATATCGGCCCCATGACAGTAAATCGGGTGCTAAACCCTGCTAAGTTTAGCCCAATTCCCTCTAAAATTGTGGGTTGCCTTCGATGAGGCAGAGATGATGAGGCAGTTTGAAAAAGCTATATGGTTGTCAAGGAAAAACCTTAGAAAGAAAAAAGACAACATTTCCTCATCAAGGAGAGGAGAGGTTGAGGAAGAGGAGGCCAATGATCAGGTAGTCGGGCAGTTCCAGGTTAAGACTTAATTCATTTTGTCTTTAAAACTATAGTTGTTATTCAAAACAAAGTTGTTGACCTCATTTTTAGGTCACATTTAGCTTCCAAAGTAATATGGAGTTTCTAGAAAGGTCCTAGTGCTTTTGAACGCCAAGAAAAAAAAATTTGTGCCCCTTTTTGTCCTAGCGTGGACATGTCAGACCTGGGGGGTGACCACTCTCAGGCGTAGTCACGCCTGCCTTCGGTGTGACAATGCCCAAATGTGGCCACACCCCTGCCTCAATGTGGCCACGCCCTCAATTCTGCTGGCGTGGTCATGTCCCATCAGCTACTTCACTGATGTGTAACATTTGTCCATGAATACTCATCCAGACCGTCCATTTGATTGGATGGCTGAAAACATCTAGCAACCATCAACGATTTTGAAAACTGCTGGAGTAATATGGGTCTTCAATCTCTTGTCTGATTGATGGCCCAG